ACCCAGCTTGAGAGCTTAACACCGTCTACTACACTACACAGACTCTAATATAAACATGAACCCATTTTCAACCCTCAAACAAATCCCAACCAAGGAACCTTGAGAACTATCGCTCTACGAAAAGAAACCTGTGACAACTTAATCTGATTCATAGTGGTCTAAGTTTGCATTATAGATGAGACGCAAAATCACTTTCTTTGCATTTTGTAGGATGAGTGATGTGAATGCAAAATTCAAACCAGCTAGAGGTTTTGCTTTGAATCTCTGTAGCTCCCCCAATCCCAGCCCACCCTACTAGTTTTGTACTCTGCATCAGAAACATCCATTCTTTCAGATAAGAAGGCATCAAAGGTGATTCTGGTGTCGTGTGAAAACACCCTTGGTTTTGTGTGTCCACCAACTTCAACTTTATGTTCAAGCCAAGAGTACTGAGAGCTGATCCCTAGCTGAGCTTTATTGGAAGACACAAGATCTACCCACTCTGGAAGAATGGCAGATGAAGGTGATTGACTACATGGAATTGGCAGAAATGACTGGCAGAATCCGAGACCAGGGAGAAGAGCCGGTGAAAGAAGACTGGAAGAAATTTAAAGACTATTTACAGAAATATTGTAAAATTAATGAATCTTAGAAGGATGTTGGATAGAAACTAAGTGGTTTCCAGCTGTAATGCTTTAAGAGATACGAAAATTGGTTCACATATGTGTTAAAGCTTAATGGTAAGGATTTGCTGAACTAACTAACTGAACTGGAATACAAAAAAGGGAGGTACGAGGAGGTCCGGGGAAATAAGTGTAAGGAAGATATGCTATGGAAAATTAACGTGTTTTTAACTGTTTTTATTTTGTATTTTTTGATCTCTTTTTCTTTTTCTTTTTTCTTTTTAAGGGTTTTTTATTCTTTTCTCTGTATTTTGTATTTTCTTGTATTTTTACTTTTTGTTTTTGTGTAATTCTTGTATTCTTTGAAATTTTAATAAATATCATTTAAAAAAAAAAGCTGAGCTCATCAGGTCACAACACCTGGAGGTTTTGCATGTCTTCTTTTAACAGCAGGGAAAGATTATGCAGCACATCAAGGTTGGCTTTATCACCCAGCAGAGAGAGGCTGCAAGGTGCATCAGTGAGGTGTTGGAGGACAGAGCACAGCCTGCCTCACACCCCCAAAAATAGCCTGCAACTTCCAGGAGCACTGTCCCCTTCCAACCTGTTTCAATTGCCCATCTGGGGCAATTCTGGTCCAGTCTGCTGGATTCAATCACATAGGGCTCACCCAGGCTTCTTTTTGCATCACACTTTCCAGGTACAGGTCTGTGCTTTAAAAGCTCCGTGTCTGAGTGGTTCTTTTTTTGTCCTGATGCTTTCCCCGGGAAAACCAGCGTTTTATCATCGAATCAGAGCAAATGGCAATCTCCGGGAAACCCGGGACTCAGCTACATTAGGAAAGAAACAACGATTTGAATGCACTATAAACATGCAACACCAGATGGCGCCAGAGAGCAGGAAAATTGTAAACACTATTTTCAATACGGATTTTCTTTTTCTTTTGTTATAACGATCTAACATTTAACTTATTTATAGCGTTCCCCCCCCCATGTAGATCCACCCTTGATTGCTGTTTGCTCTAATTTAGTAGTAAAATGTGGATTTCCCCAGGAGGAGGTGGGGAGACACACCTGGACACAGGTTTAAAGCCCAGACCTATGCCACCCAGACACAGCATCTGGGTGAGCCTGTAGATAGGCACATTCGGGTTGTGCAATGAAACCTGATTTGGAGCTATTGTGCAAGAAACCTGCTTCCCCACAAAGATTGGGCTTTTGCTGAAAGGAAAGTAATGGGGAAATGCACTGGAAGGTGTGGGATAATGCAATGTCATCTAATCCCATCCAGAAACAAATCAAGGTGAGCAGTCACTAAATAGCCAACATCATCTAGCCTCCCTGCAAACAAATCGGGATGAATCCTCAAATAAGTCATCTGGAAGCAACCGCAGTCAGGTCCTGTATGTGGAATTGGGGTCGACTTCATAATAGCAGTTTTACTTGTTTTAGCAGGTGGGAGTGTAAAATGGGGAAGATCCAGGTGGAGACTACATTATCTTTCACCTCTGCGGAGATGTACAATATCCGACTTGCAACCTGGTAAACTGTACTGTTAGAGGTAGAGAGAGCTAGCTAGGGGGATATTACATTGCTTACCTAAACAAGGTGGCCTTGTGTCTGATTATGTGGAGGACAGCCCTCTATTTGAAAAGCTGTCGGGTGAAAATCATCTGCTCAAAGCCCTGTCTGGTCCAAGTCTGGTTTAAAAGAAAACGAACCCTAAAAGGAGTGACCAGGAGGAGCCTTGAAGCTGCCTGCTAACAGTTAGTACCTGGGCAGCAGACTGAGAAAGCACCCAGCGGTAGATCTACACACAGGGGGGGAAATGCAATAAATAAGTCAGAAATTAGATGGTTATAACAAAAGAAAAAAAAAACCATATGGAAAATCGTCTTTTAAAAATTTCCTGCTCTCTGGCGCCACCTGGTATTGCATGTTTATAGCGCATTCAAATTGTTGTTTCTTTGCTAATGTAGCTGAGTCCCAAATCTCCTGGTCACAGTCTTCTCTGGCAAGATGCAGTCTACATCTGAATTGCTTGCCATGAGCGTAGCCACGATTTATGTTGGGGGGTGGGCAGGCTTTATGTTAGGGGGAGCAAAACCTCAGTTTTTAAAGTATTTTTTTTAAATTGATGTACTTGATTGGGGGAGGGTGCAGCTGCCCCCCTACCCGCCGGCTATGCCCATGGCGCTCAAGTGCAGAATCTCGACAGCCTGCCCACCTCCTCCATTTTGTTTCTGCTCCCACGCTGCCGAGGCGTTCCAAACACGGAATCTCAATCAGCGCAAGGTGATCAGAAAGCTGCTTGAATACTGTGCGAAGGATGCTTTAATTAACAGGAATTGTATGGGAAGAAAGTGGGCTGGACAAAAATAGCAAATTGCATTGTTATTGCCTAAGCTGCTTCCATTCAGGGGAACCGCTTTTGATGCCCAACAGGAAAGTGAGGGTGGGGGAGAGAGAGAAAGGGGAAAAAATCCATTGTGCAATGCTACAAAGTTCTCTTCTGGTTACTTTTTCGTTTTAATAAACCTTTTCCCATAGTCTTCAGGTTTTTCTCCGTGATGTGGAGCTGACAAAATGAGGCTGGAGGGCCGGAAATCAAACCAGCGAAGCTTCTCCCGGCTCTCATTGTGTCTGATGAAAGCAATCTTAATATTGGGATGGGGAGGGGCTCCCGGCGAGAGCTCAAAGTCAAGCAAAAGTTCTCTGCTCTTCCTCCGAGCCTTGATTTCTTTGTTCTTGCTGGCTATCTGAAGATCTTGAAGAATGACAAGGCATTAAGCATTTTATTATGGAGGGAGGGAATATTGTGGGGCATCGCATGGTTTCTTCGGCAAGGCTAGGCAGGAGAAAATGACAGGCCAGACCAGAATAACAGGCCACATTCCCCCAACCTGGTGCCCTCAAGATATTTTGGACTGCAACTCTCATGTTCCCCAGCTGGGGAGGAAGAGTGTTTTCAGGGAAGGCGAGGCAGTCAGAACCACCATATGGCTGTTTTAATGCAGTTGTTTTAATTTAATGTAGTTTTGTTTTAATTACGGGTAGCTGTATTGTCTGCACTAATGATGGGTAGCTGTATATTTACAACTGGCTTTATCCTTGTTATTTTGCTGTTTTATTTGTGAACTGTCTTGGTCTTTCTTCTTAAAACGAAGAGCGGAACAACAACAACAACCTTGAAGAACTGACTCCATCCAAGTTCCATAATGCCCCCCCCCCCAAAAAGACTCTGACGCAACAGAGACATAGCTGTCAACGTTTCCCCTTTTTTAAGGGAAATTCCCTTATTCCGAATAGGATTCCTCACAAGAAAAGGGAAAAGTTGACAGCTATGAACAGGGATGTCTGAAGGACCTTCTTGCCCTGAGGGGTGAGGGATGGAGAAGAAGCAATAACAGTTTTTTACTAAATGCACAAGTTGTCTTTTCCATTCTTTTGTAACTTTTTTTTTTTAAAGTGATGCTTCTTGGAATGATCTTATGTAAATTGCTTTGTGATGTCTGACTGAAAAAAGGCGTATAAATGCTATAAATAAATAATAGGCAGTGCTATTTTTCTAGAAAAAAAAGAGGTGCGGAACACATCCCACATTCTCTTAGAATGGCAATGGCGCCCACCTGAGAGTCCCGGATAGAAAAAAAAGCCCTAGGTGTCGGTGAGGGAGGACTATAACGCCATCAAGACATCAGGAAAGGGTAAATGTAAAGGGACCCCTGACCATTAGGTCCAGTCATGGCCGACTCTGGGGTTGTAGCGCTCATCTCGCTTTATTGGCCGAGGGAGCCGGCATACAGCTTCTGGGTCATGTGGCTAGCATGACTAAGCCGCTTCTGGTGAACCAGAGCAGCGCACGGAAACACCGTTTACCTTCCCGCTGGAGCGGTACCTATTTATCTACTTGTACTCTGACATGCTTTCGAACTGCTAGGTTGGCAGGAGCAGGGACTGAGCAACGGGAGCTCACCCCGTCACGGGGATTCGAACCGCCGACCTTCTGATCGGCAAGTCCTAGGCTCTGTGGTTTAACGCAAAGCACCACCCGCGTCCCTACGCCATCAGTACTCAGGCAGAATTACAGGATCTGACCTGTCCTTCTGGCCTGGACACTGTCACCCCTTGTGCTCCTAGATCTGATGGGGGCAGGGGTGGGCAGGCAAGAGCATTTCAGAAGCAGGACTGCTCATTTTCAAGGGCATGACCAGGGGTCAGCAAACTTTTTCAGCAGGGGGCCGGTCCACTGTCCATTGGACCTTGTAGGGAGCCAGACTATATTTTGAAGGGGGGGGGAATGAACAAATTCCTATGCCCCACAAACAACCCAGAGATGCATTTTAAATAAAAGCACACATTCTGGTCATGTAAAAACATGCTGATTCCCGGACCATCTGCAGGCCAGATTTAGAAGGTGATTGGGATGGATCTGGCCCCCGGGCCTTAAATTGCCTACCCATGGGCAAGACCATCAGAACTGGCAGCTTTAAGGACTGTAACTTTCAAGAACCTTTGCTTGAGCTTCCTTTCGCCTTCTCCCTCCTGTTCCTCTTTTCCTTGTGTGCCATGTATTTTTACATAGTGAGCCTGGGGACAAAGGCTACATCAGAAATTATTTTTGTAAGCTGCCCTGGGATACTTTTAACTAAAAATCAGGGTATAAATTGTGGAAATAAATAACAAAATAAGGACAGGGAGGCTGCAATCACTTAAACGCTATGGGACTTACTGCGCGCGCGCGCACACACACACACACTGCACCATATATATAACTTGCAAATATTTATAAATAAACACACACACACACACTCATTCTGCTGTGATTTACCAGCAGCCAGTATCCAAAAATAGGAACTGTTCTCTGGTAAACAGGACCTGGTTTCTGGATTTCAGCTACCGTGTAGGGGGAAGAAGTGTCTGGCCCCCGTGGGGATTAATTCTGAACTTTTTTTTTTTTTTGCACAGGAATATAACTTGGGAGTTTTTTTGTGTGTTTTTTTTTTACAGTTTTAGCAGAGCTATTCTGGCTTGATCATCAAATATTAGAACTAGAAGAAACAAGCACTGATGCAAATAAAGAAATATTCTGCTGCTGATTTAAAGACTAGTGAATTGCTAAATATTTTTATTAGCTGCTTGCTGGAACTAATTTCACGCCCTGTAGATATAGTGCTTAAGTGGGAAGTAGCGTTAAATTATTCTCCTTTGCAGAGGAAGGGCGATCTCCGTCGCCACAAGACACCACTAGGTGGCAGGCACATGTCTGAAAGGCAGAGCCAGGAACTTTTTGCTTGTGAAGGGATGGACTCTGGTTCGGGGAGAGAGAATATGCTAGATAAGGGGTTGGCAAGGTTTACCTCGGCTGGGCCGGTTCACTCCAGCAGAAATCCCACCGTGGACTGGATCGCGCCCACGATTTCCGGCGTCTGCGTCTGTGTAGACACGATTTCCGGCGCCACGGAAGCGTGTACTGGTTTAGCGCGGGGACTCGCTGAGCGGGCGGCTCAGTTTGGGGGCGGCTCGGGAGCCGGTTAAACGACCCCCGTGGGCCGCTTGTGGCCCATGGGCCTTAGGTTGCCGCCCCCTGTGCTAGATTCATTTCCCCTTCCTGCAAAGGAAGCTTTTCGTCTGACATGGATCTGAAATCAAATGCAAAAATGCTCAGGAAGGCTATGAAGCATGGCTGGTGTAGGGTGAAGCCCGGAGAAAGAAGATATGACTGGGGAGGAATGTGCATTCTGGGGAGAGTCCTAAGGGCCAGATAAGGAGGTCCAAAGGGCCACTTTTGGCCACCAGACTCCCCTTTCCTGCTCAAGAGAGCTCAGGATGGAACGCACCAGGTGTTCCTAGTCTACCTTCACAAGAATCCTTTGAGGTAGGACATGGGACTCACCCCATGTCACCCCAGTGACTTTAAAGGGCTAGCAGAGATTTGAATCCAGTTCAAGTGTCCCAAGGAAATGTTCATATCAACCTCCTCACACCAGCTATATATTTTGTAAAGTTCTTTGTCTGCTTCGTATACTTTTGGACAGCTCTTGAGAGATTGTAACCAGTTTTTGCATGACGGCTCCTAAGGTGATGAAGCAGTTTTTTCATCATTGCTTGGATTCAGTTGGACGCCATTTTGAATCAAGATGGCGGATTGAAACTTTCAAAACGGCACTGATTTCCAACCCCTGCTTATCATTCCAGGACAACGCTGAATGCCGCACTCTTAGTACGTAATAAATTTGTGGCGGACTAGCGCAAGTGTAGAGAACTTGTAGCTCCCCCCCCCCCGGTCTTGCCATACTACAACGTAGCAAGGAAGGCTACATTTTAATAATAATAATAATAATAATAATAATTTTTTAATTTATACCCCACCCTCCCCAGGCAAGAGCTGGTTCAGGGAGGCTAACACCGGATATAAAACAATTGATTGAAATACAACTTAAAAAACAACATTAAAATACAACATTAAAATGCAGCCTAATTTCAGTTTTGGTTCGCATACTGCTTCAGAAAGTGTGAATTAGCTGGATTTGCTTTTAAATGCAAACCTCTTCTTCTTCCCCACTTCCCATCTTGTGCTGTTCTGCTCACTCTTTTCTACAACGGGCTAAATCCCTTCGTTCCACGTTCCTTCCAGCCTAACTCTTAAAGGGGTCTTTACTTTCACACATGTCACCCCAATTTGGGGTCTGTATCGTCACTTGGCATTATTGGGCAGCTACTGGGTCTCCAGCAATATGGAGGCCTGACACCTGCCCTTGTTGTTGTTGTTGTTGTTTAGTCGTTTCCAACTCTTTGTGACCCCATGGACCAGAGCACGCCAGGCACTCCTGTCTTCCACTGCCTCCCACAGTTTGGTCAAACTCATGCTGGTAGCTTCGAGAACACTGTCCAACCATCTTGTCCTCTGTCGTCCCCTTCTCCTTGTGCCCTCCATCTTTCCCAACATCAGGGGTGGCCAAGTCCATCCACCATTTTAGTTTCCCACAAGGCCTTCAGTGTACTACCATTCTGGGGCATTCTCAGAAATTTAAGTGGCGGTTAGACTCTGCCACAGGGTCCACTGAAGAGGGTACATTGTCTAGTGCCTCCTCAACCTAAAGCACCAGTCCATTCTTGGGATTGCTATCTATTTTAAATTGTTTTTAAGCTGGTATTTTAAATTGTCGTGGCCCACCCTGGGTGAAGGGCAGCTAATAAATCAAATTGTTTTTTATTATCACTGCTACTACTGCCCTGACTTTGTTCCACAGACAGCAAAGAACCAGTGGCATAGATATCTATAATGTTCCTTGTGTGGTTTTACAAATAATGCTATCACCTATGACCATCTTACATGTGATACGAAACCAAATATAAAGCTGATTTTTCCATTATTCATTATGATGGACCAAGATCTCACTCTGTGTGTGTGTGTGTGTGTGTGTGTGTGTGTGTGTGTGTGTGTGTGTATTCATATTCTGCCATGGAAACAGTGAAGGCCAAGCACTTCTTGCCAGTTTTCTTGAAATACAAGTTTGTTCTATAATCAGCCAAGGGATAACTTGGCCTTTTCTGGGAAGAACAACAAGAAAAAAGAAAGTTCAAATAATATAAGGGGTTGTAATGGCTCCTGTGGGGATAAAGTGTGTGTGGTGTTTTTTTTTAACCTCTCCTCACAGGAACCCATTTTGTATTATCTTTCTCTTGCTGATGGCGGAAATCAATTTTAATAGAACTGACAGGAAACGAGGATGTAAAACTTCAAATAGAACAAATCCTGCAAGGTTCAGAAATAATAAAATAAGTTATGAAGTCATTTTTAAAGTTTAGAAAAATCTGATTTTTTTTTCAAGTGAGCAGCCTTTTAGAAAGATACAAACACCACAGCCCTGTCTGGCAAAAGTCTCTCAAATGGCATAGCCAGAAATGTACAGTTAAAACAGTGTACATCTAAAAGTATAAATCAAGTTGAATAATATAAATATAAATTGCAGGCATATTTATGTTCCACAGGCAATACCGTTGTGGGAAAATATATAAGAAGGAATATCACTCAATCCATTATTCTGCTTTTGAGCCATATTGTCAGTTATAACAAGAGAAATTTACAAGTTCATATTCTTCACATTAGGCTTGATGCTCGCCCCAAATTGCAACTTGGATTGAATATTGTGGTTCTGTCACTTCCAACCACTACTCCAAAAAATTAAAAATCTGGCAGATATTCCAAAATCTGTCATGTTTTTGATCAATCTTCTTACAATGAACTATGCTTAAGTGAATGCTTGTTATGCATTCCTCAGTGTTCACAGAGATGGTGGGGAAGGGGTACCGTATTTTTCACTCCATAAAACGCACTCCCCCCCTAAAAAGTAAGGGGAAATGTCTGTGCGTCTTATGGAGCGAATGCGTGGTCCCTGGAGCTGAATTGTCCAGGGGCAAAAAGCAGATTATGCTTTTTTGTTTTTGTTTTTTGTTTGAAAGAGGGAAGTGGGTGTTGAAACAAAGCGGCTGACTGTTTGCCAATCGGGGAGAGAGATAAGGGATGATAGAGATAAAGGAGGCTGCCTGGGAGCAAACTTGCAAAGGGTGGAAACATGAAGACTAAAGCAATAAGGAAAGAAATTAGAAGAAAAGGAGGAGCAAAAAACTGCTCCAGCTAAGGAAAAGACACTAAGGCAAACAAGAGGGAAGGGAGTGTTGAAAGGTGTTGACCGGCAAGCGATCAGGAGGGAGATAAGGGATGCAATAAAGGAGGCTGCCTGGGAGGGGGGAGGTAAAAGTCAAAATTCACCATCAGATCACATAGCATGTCCATGGCTACAGCCTGCACCAAAAAAATCACACATCCACTGTTGCCTGGGGGCCGTAATGGAGCAAAAACTGTCAGCATCGCCCTTGAGCCAGTGCCACCAACTGGACTCATCCACTTCAGCTCTGACTGGGCTAGGCGAGCTGGGTAGCACTTCCAGAGACCACCTTCTGCACAGGAACAGGTCAAAGTGCTGTGGACTCACAGCTTAGAGATGTGAGCACCGGATTCACTCCAACAAGAAGACAGTCGTCGCACAGCAGAGTACGGCAGAGTCTAGCAGAGTATATAAACAACTCGGAGAGCAGCTCTGTAGAATATCTTCTTTATTCTATAACTACAACTATAATACAACTCTATACAGAGCTAAATAGGTCTAAGCATAAATGAATGCTGAACCACACTGAGTGTCTGCAGCTGCTCTTAGCAGCAACCTTATCTAAACACACAAACTCTCTCTAACACTCTCTCTCTCCGACACACTGACTGACTGACTGACTGACTTGGTGCTGGAGCAGAATAAGTAGAGAGCAGAACACGCCTCCTCCTCTCTGGAGAATCAGCAGACTCCTCAGGAGATTCTTGGATATGGGAGGGGTGAAACCTCCTCATGGTTACAAAGCACGGACCCACATGGATTTTCAGGATTTCTGCATTGGGCTACCCCAAACTCACAGTCAAATCACATGTCTGTGGCCACAGCATGAACCACAAAAATCATACATCCACTGTTTTGTTCAGAATATTTTTTTCTGGTTTTCCTCCTCTAAAAATTAGGTGAGTCTTATTGTCAGGTGCGTCTTATGGAGCAAAAAATACGGTAAAGGGAAGATTTTGTTTTTTAGCTGGGCCAGTTCAGTTCTAGCCAATGAAAAGAGTGGGACGGCTTTAGAACTACCTGAAAAGGGTTAGGATGCTCTCCACACCCCACCCCACTTTGAGCTGTGATCCTTTCCCCATCTCATGTCTGGTGTGTTACCAGTTTGGATTCACTTCAAAAGCATATTCGGTTGGGCCATCTACGGTTTGAACATTACTAAGGGACCACCTTTTCCACTGGTGCAAGATTCACAGTAGCGCAGGGGGAAGGAATTCAATTCAGTTTGTGTCGAAAGGGGAATCCATCTAATCTGCACTTTCTGAAACAAGATGTGGAGTGAAACACAACCATCTATTGAAATTTGCACTTGTCTGAATGTAATGTTATATTGGGGGAAGGTGTGTATTAGGCAGAATTGCATATAGAATGTGTGTGTGCATGTGAAATGCTGATTAATTTTCATCATGAGGCCTTTAATTTTTTTTTAAAAGGATATGAAAATCTGAGTAACAGAATCCTGAAAAAATAAGATACTGAAATAAACTGATTCTAGATTCAGGTAGATAGCCGTGCTGGTCTGACGCAGTCGAAATAAATTAAAGGGTGGGGTGGGGTCCTACCATCCTTCTGAGAACACCCCCTCCCACTATATATAAGAGCCTGGTGACTTCTGTTTCCGTGTATCTGAAGAAGTGTGCATGCACACGGAAGCTTATACCCAGAACAAACTTAGTTTGTCTCTAAGGTGCTACTGGGAAAAAAAAATGTTAATTTTTGAAATAAACTGAGAATGACATATTTGCCCATACCTGTTTTGCAAAACAACAACAACAAACCTATGGTTACATGAAACATACTCAATAAACACACAAGACGTAACTGGCTGTACTTTTGAATAAATAAGGTATACTATTCATTGTATCAAATTGTAGATTTCAACGGAAGTCTCATAAAGTTCAGCGAAAAAAGCAGAAGACCCAGTGGATCAGTTCATTCTTTAGTCAGTTCATGCATAAGGTCCATACATGTATAAGTATCTATTCCACCTGTCTGTTCTTAGAGTCCAATAATCCACATGCAGGGTTGTTACAGTTTCACAGAATCCTTTCACGGAGTCTAAGACAAGGATTTCCAGAATATTAGCCTTGTTTCGCCATCCTAGGCTTCATCAGTAGAACAGGCTCTAGGTAATGCAAATAAACACAATATCATAATCTCACACATTTTTACAGCAAAATTAATATAAGAAACCATAAACAATTGTACATACCATATGTAATATTACAGGATGGTGGATCTTATAGCATAGTAGTGGTTGCAGTAAGCAGTTTCCCCAGCCACTCTGTGCGGCTTCCAACAAAGATTAAAAATACATTAAAATGTCACACATTAAAAACTTCCCTGAACATTAAAAACTTCCCTGAACAGGGCTGCCTTCAGATGTCTTCTAAATGTCAGGTAGTTGTTTATCTCTTTGACATCTGATGGGAGGGCGTTCCACAGGGCGGGCACCACTACTGAGACAATCCTCTGCCTGGTTCCCTGTGGCTTTGCTTCTCGCAGTGAGGGAACCGCCAGAAGGCCCTCGGCACGGGACCTCAGTGTCCGGGCTGAACGATGGGGGTGGAGATGCTCCTTCAGGTATACAGGACCGAGGCCGTTTAGGGCTTTAAAAGGTCAGCACCAACAGTTTGAATTGTGCTCGGAAACGTACTGGGAGCCAATGTAGGTCTTTCAAGACTGGTGTTATGTGGTCTCGGCGGCTGCCCCCAGTCATCAGCATTACCTTGTGAGATAGTGGATGCTGGTCCTACAGGTCTAATAGGTCACTGCCCTAGCAGTCTCAGTCTTCCCACAGTAAGCCCCCACCTGCCTGCCTTCTTTAATTACAACCGGTCCAGGAGGTAGCACTGGCTGTCAGCTTCATCCTATGTAGTCTTGCCTTTGTAGGACCCGTCGGGGAAGAGTGTGAGGAACGGGACACACTGGCTCTGTCTGTCATTGGCTTTGCCTCCACTTCCTGTCAGTACGTGCGCCATGTTTTGAAGAGAACAATTTGCCCCATAGATTCCCTACCACGGCCAAAAGGAAAGGGAGGGAAGGCTGAAAGGCACAAATTGAATGTTAGTTACTGGGTGCAGATAACGACGGCGATACACAATCTGCAGACATTCTGCTCATTTGTAGCTTTGTCTCTCTGAGTCCGAGAAATCACTGCAGGCACTTAGCCAGAAATATGGTGGTAAGGGAGCATGATAACCCTAGAGGGGGCATTGAATCATTGTACGAGAGCCAGAACATGAATGCAGGAAGCCTAATAATGTTTTAAGTTATTTGATTGCGTTTCTTCTTAGTGAGCAATTTGGTAGAATGCTGCCTGTGCAATTTCTCAGGGCAGTGGCGTAGCGTGGGTTGTCAGCACCCGGGGCAAGGCAAGTAATTTGCGCCCCCTAACCCGTGGATTTGCGCCCCCTAACCCTAACCCCCAGATGTTGCGCCCGGTGCGGCCGGCCCCCCCTGCACCCCCCACGCTACGCCACTGTCTCAGGGGGCTTAGCTGCTCCTCTAACGCCCTACAGCCCTGCATCAGAAGCACTAGTTAGCATCAAGAGAGGAAGATGATTTGCACAGCATCATCCTGCAGTCCATCTATTCCAGCTCAGCATTGCCTAGTAGCAGCCCTGCAGGATCTCAGGCAGAGGGCTCCTCCCACATCACATGCTACGCGATCCTTTTGACTGGAGATGTCAGGGATTGAACCTGGGCCTCTGTGTGTGTGTGTGTGTGTGTGTGTGTGTGTGTGTAATGGTAGAGTCTAGAATTGTAGGAACTGCTTGGATATGGTAGAGTCTAAAATCTTTGGAACTGCTTGGATATTGTGACCTTAGGGCAAGTCCTCAGACTGCCAACTTCTGAATACTAAGGGACAATTTATAATTTAGAAATTGTCCCTTAGTATTCAGAAGTTGGCAATTTGAGGACTTGCCCTAAGGTCACAATATCCAAGCAGTTCCAAAGATTTTAGCTTTCTCAAGCCCTTCCTCATTTCTCTAGTTTTTTGTGGACTCTGAATCATTACATGGTATATGGCCCCTAGGAGGTTGACTACGAGAGAATGTGGCCCTTAGGCTGAAAAAGCTTCCCCAGCTCTGTTCTAATCCATGGTCAGCAATGCTATCCATTGCACACATTGCACCCCTTCTTTTGCCCCCCACCCTTGTATTTCCGGACACACATTACATCCCAGGAGCAGAAATATATCAGGCCAGCTATGCCTTTGCAAAATGAGTAGCTTTTGTTTAGAATTAATGGCCCCTGTAGTTGCCTCTGTATTAGGCATTTCTCGGAACAGGGTTTCCACTTTCCAGTGTTGTGGTGGTGTTGTTGTTTTGAAAAAGCTTTAATGTCCATGCTTTTGCCTGGTAGAGCTAGTCAGCTTCAATTCAACACAGCTGGGTTGCATTGGTCTCTCTCTCTCTCTCTCTCTCTCTGTTCCATAGAATGTGATAAAGAAGATCTATATCCCAAGCCTCGGAGCAAATTCCATGCCCCGAACACATGGCAAATGTTGTCAGATGGCAGCAACCAGACTGAGTTCCAAGAGAAGCCATCCAGTCATTGATAATGAAACTCAAATGCTTAACTGTAAAGTGGGTAATCATCATTAGTTCCTTTGGTATTCCTCATAATGACATTAATCATGGCGTACTCATTAGATTTTAATAGGCCTGTAATATGTTAATCCATAGTAATTCTATTGCAGTTCAGCATTAGCTAATGCCCACTTCTTGGAAAGTGTTCTGTAAGTCCGTTTTATAATACAGCTTACGAATTCGATCTGAATAAAGAGAGAAAAACGAGGTTTCTCCAAAGCTCAGGACCGAGGCGATGGGTAAGCGATAGCCCAGTGTGATTGTCCAAGCAAAGGGGTTCATACGGTCATGTACCTGTACAAGGGGTGTTGAGTGGATATGGTCACAAAAATGCAATATAGCATCCTCATTTCAAGGCAATTTATATTCTTGTTGCGACCCAGCAGCATAGACCAGTGATCTTCGACCAGACCAGACCCAAGACCCACCTCTGACTCCCAAGCTGCAACATGGGACTCGTGTTCACTTGTGATTTATTCTTAATAGCGCTAACAATGTATGTTATTAATCCTAAAGTGGCAATTCCCCTAGTGATATGCATTGTGTTACCTCAGCATTGCCGCTAAAGGAAAACTAGTCCTGCTATGGGGCAGGAGAAAGTCACGAACATGCAGCTGGCCAGAAATATGTATCTTATTTTTTTAAAAAAATGGCTCGCACCTTTCTTCTGCCACATTGCAACTCTTGTGGAAATGGATAAAATTAGCATCTCATCCCGGTCACACGCAGCGCTCCTTTGGTCTTATCAGCCCAAGCTGGAATCCAACATGGCAGCAACATCTTTGCTGTGGGTCCCAACCCACTGGTTGAAGACCTATGGCACTGACCACTGCTGGTACTGTCAAATGGGGTAGAGCATCAGTGTGCAAAATAATTTTTGGATAAGAGGGGATGTAGTGGGGGGATGATGGCCTGCTTTAACCTTCTGGCTACCCCTGCCCCAGTGTGAAAAAATTGTCCACCTACATTTTGCACATATTGACTGCTCCCCGGACAGTGGAGTTAGGAGCACTGTGTGGGCATGCTTATTCTGTACATGCATCCATGAGTACATGCTCACATGGGTACATGAGGCCTTATTGGAGAAACTGTCTCCCCAGTCTGCTGATCACCTGGCTATTGGAACAACAGGAGAGTAATGACTCGGCCAAGACAGTTTTATGTCTCCATGTGGTATGGTATTTGAAATATACTCGGAGTCGAGTGTGGATTTCATTCTCTTTATTCGGCTCATAGTAGTGAGGAATGGAAGTTCCCCCAAAATGTCTGCTTTATATACACAATGGGCCCCACGTGATTGGCTAATTCTGGGATTCTCCTGTAGGCCAATCAGGTTGTGGATTCATTTCCACCTGGAGTTGGATTGGGTGGCTCCTGCGGACCAATCAGACTGCTGCATTCTGAATCCTATTGTTCTAGGACCAATCAGACTGCTGCATTTTGGATCCTATTCAACTCAGTACATAACAGTATTGTACTAGGATCTGGGAGACTTGGCTTCAAATCCTTACTCAGCTGCACTGAAAACATGTGTAATTGCTGGTGTAATTGTGTGATATGTGGTATGTATACAGCATCAGAGGCAGTGTTGAGTTGTCTGCAGCTACAACTCTCTCCTTCAAACAGGGACGCTCTTGCTTGGGAATGGTTCGTCACTGGTGCCGTGTTGATGTCTGACACACGGTGTCTGATGCAGATATTGAACCCCAGCAATCCTGTGCACAGAAAGTGGGGGTGGGAATGAGGAACAGACAGTCAAATGAATCCTTGCAGATAATCAAATGAATTCCTGCAGATCCTAAGTCACACCAGAGGCCACGTATTTTTAAAGCCAGAATTCAATCAATATAAACTCGCATAGATATAATTTAAGCAGGGATAAAAAAAAAATCCACACTAACCTAGTAACTAAAGCTACTAAAAATGCAAAGTTTATAGTCCATCTGTCTCTTTGCTTCAGGGAGCCTGTATTAAATTCATTGCTAAATAAAACAAATAAGCCCAGCAAAAGTCGGCACTGAAATCTGCATACTCATAAGAGAATTAACAGAACTCTCTTGTTATGATGGCTGATTCTCAATTTGCATCTTTAAAGAGTTGTGACCATGTCTAGGTTTCTGCCTTCCTAGTTATATTGGAGGCAGGATGGTCTTATGGCTTTGAGGTCCTGCATGATTACTTTTTGAACAGGTGCTGGATGTGAGCAGGATTCTGCAAGGGGGCCCGAGGGGGCTGGTAGGAAAGCAAGAATCAATAGGGATAAAATATTGTCTCAGCCAAAATTGAATGTCATTTATCTTTGGGGAAACAATCAAAGATGTATTACTACACATTTAAATACAGGGTGCACCAAACTATTGGCTTTTTGGTTCTTCAACCAGCACTTGGAATCTTACTTTTACTACTCCATTGTCCCCAAATTCTGGAGTTGGCAGCAGGTGAAATTTTTACTACCTCCTTCTGGATAACTTCAGGATTCTTAAAAGCCTCTGGCCTGAAGATGGTCACTCTGTTCCATAGCCTTGTGCCTGATGCACCCATTGTGCCACTGAAATTGTGAAGTACTGAGTGAGGCGTTCGGTTCCTTAGGTTTAGCTGTCCATGATTGTTAAGTTGTGGGTGAACATATCAGACAACACAGCGATTCTTCAGACAGCTCTTAGAATCATAGAATCATAGAATCATAGAGTTGGAAGAGACCACAAGGGCCATCGAGTCCAACCCCCTGCCAAGCAGGAACACCATCAGAGCACTCCTGACATATGGTTGTCAAGCCTCTGCTTAAAGACCTCCAAAGAAGGAGACTCCACCACACTCCTTGGCAGCAAATTCCACTGTCGAACAGCTCTTACTGTCAGAAAGTTCTTCCTAATGTTTAGGTGGAATCTTCTTTCTTGTAGTTTGGATCCATTGCTCCGTGTCCGCTTCTCTGGAGCAGCAGAAAACAACCTTTCTCCCTCCTCTATGTGACATCCTTTTATATATTTGAACATGGCTATCATATCACCCCTTAACCTCCTCTTCTCCAGGCTAAACATGCCCAGCTCTCTTAGCCGTTCCTCATAAGGTATCGTTTCCAGGCCTTTGACCATTTTGGTTGCCCTCCTCTGGACACGTTCCAGTTTGTCAATGTCCTTCTTGAACTGTGGTGCCCAGAACTGGACACAGTACTCCAGGTGAGGTCTGACCAGAGCAGAATACAGTGGCACTATTACTTCCCTTGATCTAGATGCTATACTCCTATTGATGCAGCCCAGAATTGCATTGGCTTTTTTAGCTGCCGCGTCACACTGTTGGCTCATGTCAAGTTTGTGGTCAACCAAGACTCCTAGATCCTTTTCACATGTACTACTCTCAAGCCAGGTGTCCCCCATCTTGTATTTGTGCCTCTCATTTTTTTTGCCCAAGTGCAATACTTTACATTTCTCCCTGTTAAAATTCATCTTGTTTGTTTTGGCCCAGTTCTCTAATCTGTCAAGGTCGTTTTGAAGTGTGATCCTGTCCTCTGGGGTGTTAGCCACCCCTCCCAATTTGGTGTCATCTGCAAATTTGATCAGGATGCTCTTGAGTCCATCATCCAAGTCGTTGATAAAGATGTTGAATAAGACCGGGCCCAAGACAGAACCCTGTGGCACCCCACTAGTCACTCTTCTCCAGGATGAAGAGGAACCATTGATGAGCACCCTTTGGGTTCGGTCAGTCAGCCAGTTACAAATCCACTGAGTGGTAGCATAGTCAAGACCGCATTTTACCAGCTTCTTTACAAGAATATCATGAGGCACCTTGTCAAATGCCTTGCTGAAATCAAGGTAGGCTACATCCACTGCGTTCCCTTCATCTACCAGGCTTGTAATTCTGTCAAAAACGAGATCAGGTTAGTCTGACATGACTTATTTTTCAGAAATCCATGCTGACTGTTGGTGATCACAGCATTCCTTTCTAGGTGCTCACAGACTGTTTGCTTAATGATCTGCTCCAGAATCTTCCCTGGTATTGATGTCAGACTGACTGGGCGGTAATTATTTGGGTCCTCTCTTTTCCCCTTTTTGAAAATAGGGACAACATTTGCCCTCCTCCAGTCTGCCGGGACTTCGCCTGTTCTCCAGGAATTCTCAAAGATGACTGCCAGTGGTTCTGAGATCACATCTGCCAGTTCTTTTAATACTCTTGGATGCAGTTCATCTGGCCCTTGAGACTTGAATACATCTAAACTAGCCAAGTATTCTTGTACTATGTCCTTAGTTATTCTGGGCTGTGTTTCCTTTGCTGAATCATTTGCTCCAAATTCTTCAGGTCGGGCATTGTTTTCTTTATCGGAGAAGACTGAGGCAAAGAAGGCATTGAGGAGTTCAGCCCTTTCTGTGTCCCCTGTTTG